ACTGCTCATGTAGCTGATATTCTTGTGGCAGATGTGGGCCACAAACCAGATAAATAAGTAAAATGCAGAGAGTTTGTCAGGTGGAGACAGTACATGGAGAAAAATGAAGCAGGTGAGAGATGGAGAATGTTGGTAAGAGTTAGCAATATAGATTCAACCTAAACTACTGTTCAATACGGTACAAAATATTATACAGCCCTAAAAATGCTATTTTGGGAGGGCATTTAATGACATAAAAATGCTTATAATGCAATATTAGGTGGCAAAAAACAGAACGTAAACGTAAATACACAGCTAGAGAGTCAACTTCACAAAGATAATCAATAGATATTAGTTTTGTAGAGGGAAAACTAACATTCACACACTGAAACTTTGCCTAGAAAAAAGACTAAAAAGAGTGTCCTGAAAAGCTAACAGTTGTCAATTCTGGGAGGTGAGCCTGGAGGTAGTAGGGCTTTCACTCTCACAGTTTGTGCAAGTTCAAATCTTGCCTTTATTTCAGATTTGGATAGATTTCTTTTTTGCATTCACTTTTAAATATACTTAATTTTTTAGAACAGTCTTAGATTTACAGAAAAGTTGAGAGGATAGTATGGAGGGGACCCATATGCCCAGCTCCCTCTGCTGGGAATATCTTCCATTATTAGCATGGTACATTTGTTACATTAAGGATAAATATTGATAAATTGTTAACTAATGACCACATTCAGAGTTTTGGCATTAATTTTTATTTTTTAACATATCATCTTAAAATATTATTTATCTTGATTCCTGAGTTTTTAGAGCTCCTTTAAATTTTGCTCCCAAAGTGCCTCACCCATTTCACACTAGTCCAGGGCCCACTTTCTATAACTGTAAAAATGTGACTGTGATGTCCACTGCGTCCCTTCTTCCTCTCCAGGTCAGAGCCACAGTGCATGGGTCTGGTGGCCAGCCCTAACTGAGCAGGGCTGGAGTGCAAACCAAGCTCCATGACCTGTCCCATTTACTCATCCAATGAGCTTTTCTTGAGTACTGTCTATGGGCCAGGGCCTGTCACAGCCATGCTGACCAGATAGATTCCAGCCTCTAGGAGCCCAAAGGGAAAAACTCTGGCCTTTAGTCTTGGGGGAAAACTCGGTGGCACCTTGACCCGCTCTGGACAAATGTCCCCAAACATCACTTCTCTAGAAAAAAGACCCCCACCCCTTTCTGATGCCTCAATGCTCCTGGCTGGATAAAGGGTGTGGGTGGTGGCTTCACCCCCATCTCTCCATGGATGACCTGGCCCCCAAGACCCAGGGGATCCTACAGCTACCTTAGCTTCACAGGGAAGGCTGATGGCACCTCAGACCCAACACAGCCAACCCTGAGCTCCCCCTATGCTCCCCCGTAGCCATTCCCATAGCAGCTGATGGCCATGACGGCCTGCCAGCTTTAGGCCCAAACCCTCAGAGTTGTCTCAGCTATTCCCTATTCATCTCATACCCACCCTCTCGTTGAGTCCTGTCAGTGACTCTGCCAAAACCTTTTCTGAATATGACAACTTCTAAATACCTCCACCATCACGTGCCACCCCCACCATCATTGCTCACCTGGGTTAGTGCAGAAGCTCCTCACTGCCCCTGCCTCCTCTGCTCTCCAGCCCAGTCTCCACACAGCAGCCACACTCAGAACCTGACTCTCCCTCGCTGGCCCTCCAATGGCTTCTCTTGGCTTTTAAAATAAAGTCTGAAGTGCTTCCCCTGGTGTACAAGACCTACATGCTCTTGCCCTGCCTGTCCTGCCCACCTCTCTCCATTCATCTCACAGTGCTGCCCCTCCTGCCTTAACTCCAAATACACTGGCCTCCTTTCTTTCTGGGGACAGAGCTTGCTCCCACCTCTGGGGCTTTTCACCGGCTGTTCCCTCTGCCTTGAATACTGTTCCCCACATCTTCTCATGTCTGGTTCCTGTAATTTGGGCCTTAGCTCACATGTTGCCTCCTCAAAGAGGTCATTTTTTTTTTAATTAATTAATTCCCTCCCCCCCACACACACACACACTTCCAGCCCTGACCTACAGATGTTGCCATCTCCCCTGAGGTGTGCACCCAGGGCCCGGTGCGCACCCAGTGGGCCCGTGGCTCCACCTGGAGCACGAACCCAGGACATTCTGCATGTAAAGCAGACGTGCTAACCACTATACTATGGAGCCACTCCCCAAAGAGGCCTTTCTTGACCACCCCATATGACTCCTGTTGGCAGTACCCCTGTTCCCACCCAGACATCCTCCATCCATGTCATCCTGACATATTTTTCAGACCATTTACCACTACATTAAGTTACTTTGTTTACTTGTTTCCTTCCTCGTCTATTGTTACCTGTAAGCTATTTATTCCCTGCTATATTGCTAGGGCTTAGCATGGTGCTGGCAACATAGTAGGTGCTCAGTAAATAGCTGATGAGCGAGTGCATTAACCAGGGCACAGAGGAGTGAGACAGCACTGCAGGGGCAAGGCTTAGGGGCAGGCCAGGATGTGAGTTTCACCAGGGAGGAAAGGCTCTCTCTTTTGTGGGAATTCCCAGGTCTCAAAGGGTCTGAGGCTTTTGAACCACATCAACAGTAAGAATTCAGCTAATATAAACAATGAGAACATTTCTGGGTCCTTGGAGTAAAGATAATAGGAAAGTAAAACAAAACGGGGGTTAAATATATGTCTGCACAGGACTTTATAGTTCACAAGACACTGCCACATTCAGTGTAGGCCATATACATGCCCATTTCACAGATGAGGAAACCGAAGCCAAGGCTATGGAGAGAGTCAGGAGCAGGGTCCCGGGCATCTTCCTTGAATCTGTGGCCATGGAAAGCAGCCCACAGGTTTTAATTTTCTTATTAAATTGGGAGAATTTTTTGTTTTGTTTTGTTTTGTTTTCAGCAAAAGTTTTTCTAAGTTAGCCACCTGCTTCCGTCTGTCCCTGGGGCTGCTGACCTTGCTCAGGCTACGGGGGGAAGGAAGGAAGAGTCTGGTGAACAGACAAAGGGGTGCCTGCCTGCACGGGTAAGGGCTTAGGCCTGGGCCCAAGAGATTTAATCCCAGCTACTCTTGGCAAAATCGAACTGCCTGAGTTGATGCCTTTGTGCCAACCTCCCCCAAGCCTTTGCTCTTGTAGTAGTGCCTACTTGGGATGCTGTTCTATATCTAATATTTTTTCTCAATAAATATCACCACTAGGATTGAGCCAATGTTGGAACCTGCTACAGGGCTGACAGGGGAGATGTCCCCCTGGGCTTGGGTCCAGAGACAAAGTGGGAGGTAGAATGGTATAAAAACTAGTAGATCAGTGCCCCACTTAGACCACTGAGCCAAAGACTCCAGCCCGCAAAGTCCTGGCTTGCTGCATGGGCTCTGCCTCACCCCTCCTGTTGGCCTGGCTTACTTCCTCCCTCTGGGCCTCAGTTTCCTCATCTGTGAAATAGCTTTTGGTGATATTGACCACAGAGGGTTGTATAAGAATTGAGGTGACACACGGAAAGCTCACCCAGAGAAGGGAGGAGGGAGCCCTAAGCTTCATGCTCTACTTACTCCAGAGATCTGGCCTGCTTCTCCTACAGCCGCTCAATTGCTTACCCATGAGTCCCACCCACACTCTGGCTGTTTCAGTTCCTCTTGGCCCTGTGGGGCTGTAGGGGCTTCATGCCATAGACAAAGAGTACTGTGATGTGAGCAAGCCAGGCCTCAGCCTCAGCCCAGCCCAAAGGTCTCCCTTATCAGCTCCCTGGTGCCTGACTATTACCCCTGAACTCAGACTGTAAGGGCTATTTAAATGCAAGTGACTCAAAGTGAGCACTACCAGGTGCTGAGCTCAGGTTGGCGTTCCATGACCTCCCTGAGGACTTCTGCACTTCTTCTCAGTGCCTGGTATGCAAATGCTTTGGGACCCCCATGCTTGGGGGTACAGCTCAGGAACCAAGGCACCTCAGACCTGTCCCCAAGACCCCACAGTATGCTGGGGGTCTGGGTAGCAGAGCATGAGAATCTAGCTCCAGCCCCACCAAAGCTCAACCTATGGACCAAAACCTCCTCTTGGTCTGCAACTCTCCTACCCAGGGTAGCTGTGGCCCTTCTGGGGGACTAAACAGAACCGAGGAATCAGACATGGCCCTTGCGACTTTGCACAGGTTCCCAGGCCCTCCTCTGCGAAATGGGCCCAGGGCTGGCTTGGGTAAACCCTGCAGGGCACTTGAGCAGTGGGCCCTCAGCAGGTGACAACTGTCTCTCCTCTTGCCCGCAGATCCTGAACATGGAAGATGACCAGAACTGGTATAAGGCTGAGCTCCGGGGTGTCGAGGGGTTTATTCCCAAGAACTACATCCGTGTCAAGCCCCACCCGTGAGTGGCCATCACCCTAGCCCTGTGACCTCAAGGCACTCCCCCACCCCTGCAGCCAAATGTCCCCACCCAGCCTGGCTTAGACTGAGCTGCGCTGCCTGGTGCATCCCTTGGACACAGGATCTCCTCATTCCTGGCCTCTGTCCATCTGTCCGGGGCCTCTAGTCTCTATCCTAAGCAGGGACAGGGAACAGAGATGTGAGGACTTGCCCAAAGGGTGGCAGAGTCAGGGCCAGCCCAGGCCATGATACTGAGGATCTGAAACACAAGATAATATCCGGGAAAGCCCTGGAGAGGAAGGCCCTTGGTGCTAGGCTGGCTGCTGCACGGCCTCGGGCAGGTCCCTGCTCTCCCTTTCTCAGTTTCTCTATCTGTGGCACAAGGAGGCCAGAGGCTCCAATCTGTGGTGGATGCTAGAGTTCTCTCTAAGAAGCCAGCTCAGCCCTGTGTGAGAGTAGGGTTGAAGGGGTGGAGGGTTAGGCAGGAAGCAGATTCTGTGCTCCCTGCCTTTGGGGTATGAGGGGGAGCTGGACATTGGTCAAGCAGAATCTGGGACCAGAGCAGAGCAGGAGTTATGTATGGGACCCAGGTATCCTGAGGTCTGGGACCTTCTGGTCCAGGGAAGCCCCTAGTCAAGCTCTTAGCAAGTGACATTCAACATTGCTGCCCTGAGAATGGCTGAGATAGAGCCCAGCCCCGGGACAGGCCTAAGTGGCCAAGAATCTATGGAAAATCAAGTGGATATGCTTAAAATGATGGCTGAGGTGGCTCCAAGATATAGCAGCTTACTCAGTCATTCACCATACACTAGCCACATCTCCAGGGCCCTGACCTGGATGGTGCTGGAAACACATGATAAGATGCTGGGGTCAGAGCAGCCCTGTCCTATGGGAGTAACAGGACGTAAAGAAAGTACAACGTGAGAAGACAGTGTCGAGGTAACTAACTGAGGACGTGTTCTCAGAAGACAACAAGTGAGGTTTTGAAGGGTATGTTAGAGTCAGCTAAGCAGAAAAAGAGAGAAAAAAACAAAAAACCACTCCTGGGAGAGGGGGCAGAGAAAGCAATGAAGGAGAACCTATGGTAGTGGGACTGGCAGGAAGGCCTCAGATGCCAGGCCCAGGGTGGTAGGAAGCCATGGAGGTGTTTGATCAGGAAAAGAACTCAGTCAGACATGGAGGCAGGTGACAGGGCCAGGGAGGCTGGAGGAGGCAGACTAGGAGCCATGATGTATATGTGATTGTAGCTTCAAAGGGAAGGGAGGTACAGAGCGGGGGTGGAACCTGAGGGTATTTCCTCTTTATCTGTCTTCGAGTTATTTCTAAAGCTGCCACCACTTCTGGCTTCCTGTGCTGGGCAAGGCCCCATCCCACCCAGGTCCCCAGCTACTTTGCATGGGCTCCAGGCAACCCCAGTCTACCCCACAGAGGCTGCGGCCTCTAGCTGACATCCTAGGCTGTGGGCCCTGTGGTGTCCCTCTGGGCTGTGTGACATTGTACAGGTGTCTGGCCCTCTGGCCTTACAGTCCTCCTGTCAGTAAAGGGAGAGCATGAGTGAAGATGAGAGAGATGGCAAGAACCCAGCCCAGGGCCACAAACCAGGGCCAGGTGCTGCAGGCATTTACAGGCCAATGGAGGACAGGCAGGAGCCATCATGATGAGCTGGCAGGTCAGGGAGAGGCCTCCAGGTGGAGGCAATGTCTGACAAAGGCTAGAAGCCTCGAAGGCCCACAGCTGCTGAGAAGCCCTGAGCAGAGCGGGAGAAAAGCTCATAAAAGGCTGTGGTACTGGGCCAGACCTGTCAGGACAGTGCCAGTGGTTGAGACAAGATTTCACCAGGGAAGTTGGGAACCGTGTAGGGTTCCAGTCTCCAATGACCCTGGGGTTCCTGGGGTTAGCTCTGGCCACTTGTGTTTGGGACACTTGTGTTTGGGACAGAGCAGGAAGGGAGGTCAGGCCCCCAACCCACTTACTGAGGTCATGCCCAGGTGTGTCCTTAGCTAACCTCAGTACCAAAATAGCAGCGGGGAAACTCCAGCTGGCGCCTGACTCAGCCCATCAGGCCCCAGGGTGTAGGGTAGGGGGAGGATTGAGGTCCCAGAAGGCCTTGTGCCTACACCAGGCCCACTATTTACCTGAGCACTCACTGTCACCCCAGCCTGCCCAGGCGGCCCCTGAGGGAAGAATGAGGCAAACCAGGTACTCTCAGAGCAGGGGCCACGGAGGCACCTGACCCAGCTGCATGGCCAGTGGAGGTCAAGGAGGACTACCCAGAGGAAGGGCATGCTCTGCTGGGCTTGGAAGTTAGAGTAGAAGTTTGTCGGGGAGGACAGCAGGCAGACCGAACTGAGAGATGCGTGGGAGGAGGGCTGTGAACCACCTCATTGCAGCGGCAGCAGGAAACACTGCGTGCAGCAAGGCCCTCACTGTCCCAAGGGCCCTGTGAGCTAGGTACTATCGTCACTGTCTCACGGACGAGGAGACGGAGGCACAGAGGAATTGGGGAGCCCGTAAGAGCAGCTGGAGCTGGGGGAGGGTCTAAGGCCAAGGACTTGCTGTGCAATCTTTCAGGGGATCCTTGACCTTCTCTGTGCCTCAGATTCCACATCAGTAAAATGGGGGACTAGGCGAGATGGCCTCCAGTGGAGTGGTTCTGGTAGCGGAGAAAACTGGGTTCTGGGGCAGCAGGAAATGCTTCCTTCTCCTGCACCCTGTCCTTCAAACCACTGGAGGACCAGCTTTGCCTACCCCTGGTGGGGGCAGGGCTAGCCTTCTCAGAGGGTGCGGTTGCAACAGCCTTTGAAGATGACAGCCACCCACATGCTGATGCCTCCTATGGGGTTTTGTGGGTTCTTCGGAGACACCCGGGCCCTCGGGAAACGCCCACTTGGGGCCCGTTTAGGCCTCTGCTCCTGCAGCATGGCCCTGTACCTGTGTCCTGCTGGGGCTTCCAAGTAGAGGTGCTCCCTTTTCTGCCCCTCTGAGTCCTGGGCCTCCTCATCCCAGCTCAGCCTCTGGCCTGGGGGCCTCCACCCAGGACTCTGAAACTCTAAAGAACCAGACCAGACTCTCCAGATGTTTGCCTGATCCTCCACCTTCAGCAACCCCCTTCACTATCTCCCCTGCTGGGGATACCACCGTGAGATGGGCCCAGGGTCACCATCAGTTTGGGGAGCAAAAGTTGGCTGGAACATCACTTCTGGGGTTGTGGGCTCCCCAGAAGTAGTGCCTGAGAACAAAGTGAGGACAAAGACTTTATTTTGGAGTGGGAAGTGGGCAGGGAAGGAGCCAATAGGGTATGTTAGTGATACGGCTTCTGGGTGTGCCATCCGGCTGGGGAAGTGGGGGAGACAGCACCCAAGAGTGTTCCGTCGCAGGGGGTGGGGGAGAGGTCAGAGAGTTGGCTGTTTATCCACCTGCCCCCTCAGTCATCACTTGAGAATGTTCCAGGGGCTCAGAACACAGGCCAAGTATGTTAGTCACCAGGAAAAGCCCTCAGGCAGAATCCCCAGTGTTTGCATTCACAGGAGGCTGTGTGGAGCATGAATGGGAAGTGGGGAGATGGGCAGGACACCATTAGCATCTGCTGCTGCACCTGTTGCCCTCTGCTCTCAGCTCGAGGGCTCATCAACATCCTTAGACAACAGGAAAGGTCCCACCTCACTTCCACCCCGCCCCCCTCACCCCCGCTCCTGAGAGCCAAGCTCAGATTCAGGAAGCGTTTGCTGAAAGAGGGAACGGAAACATTACCTTGATGGAGGCTCTGAGCCCTACACTTGTTCGGCCATGGTCCCACCATGAGACTTTGGCAACTCTGGGCCATAGTTTCCCCGTCTAAACAATAGCCCAGTGTTTTAGCTAACCTGAAAGGCAGTCAGAGACCACCCGGACCCTCTGAGGGTGGGTGAGACCTACATATGCCGGGAGACGGGGAGCAGGGCACAGGGCTGCCTGGAGCCATGCAGCAAGATCCCTGCCTTTCACTCCCAGGCCTTCGGAGTGGTGGGGATTTTGCACGACTCTAAGCATTTACCAGGCATCTTCTATATACCCAGCACTATCCGGTCAGTGGTAAGAGGGACTGTACCTATGGGAAAAAAATCCAAGCGGCCTCAGTCTGAGCATCTATGAGATGGGTATAGGGAGAGAGCCTTCCTCACCAGGTCGAAGCTGCTATTTGTTTTTATATTTTTTCACTTTTAAGAATCTACCATCTAAAACAGAAAGCTCAGCTGGGGTTCAGTGGGTAGAGGTTCACTGAGGTTTGCTATTTCTGTTTTTATAATGGTATGTGTTTGCCTGGCGTGGTGGGAAAGGATTGGGCTTGGGAACCAAAATGCTGAGATTGGGTCCCAGCTCCCGCCCTGCCACAGCATGTGACCTTGGGCTCGTTTCTTCGCCTCTCTGTGCCTCCGGGTCCTCATCTGTAAAATGGGTGCCATCATATCTCCTGCATCTCAGGACAGCTGTGAGGATCAGCAATGTTGAGCACCTGGGCACGGGGAAGCGGGTAATCTGGACTCCCTGCTGCCTTCACCTGCCCCCTCTCTCTGCAGGTGGTACTTGGGCAGGATTTCCAGGCAGCTGGCCGAAGAGATTCTGATGAAGCGAAACCACCTGGGAGCCTTCCTGATCCGGGAGAGTGAGAGCTCCCCAGGGGAGTTCTCCATCTCTGTGAAGTGAGTTGTGACCTGAGGTGGGGTGCAGGGGAGGGTGGGCAGGGAGGTGACATCTGAGCTAAGTCTCCAAGCATGGAACGGGCTCACAGATTGAGGTGGCAGGAATGGCATCCCTGGAGAGGAGCAGCCCGAGCAAATGCCTGGAAATGTGGCCATATGGGGGTTGGGAAGGACACCCAGCCCTGGATGTGGCCCAGAGCAGTGAGAATGTGCTTAGAAAGTAGGCTTGGGCTGACTGTAAAACCTCAAGTTCCAAACTGGGGGATCTGGACATTATCCTATGACTGGCTTAGGGAGCCATCAAAGATTTATCAGCAGGGGAGGAGGAAGGATGCTGGCAGTGATGTGATGGGAGTGACTGGGGGCAGGAGAGCACCAAGACACTAGGGCAGGTGTCTAGGATATACTCTGGACAGGGTCCCACTATATGATGACACAGTTGAGAGAATGGACCCTGGGGCTATGCTGCTTGGGTTCAGATTCTGGCTCTGCCACTTCCTGGCTATATGATCTTGGGCAAGTCACTTAACCTCTCTATGCCTGTTTCTTCACATGTAAAATGAGTTATTGCAAGGAATAAATGAGTCAACATATTTAGAGCAATTAGAATAGTGCCTGGTACTATTTAGAGGCAAGATGGCTGTGACGTGAGTGTTCAGCTTTGTAACGAAGCAGCTCCTCAGGCAGCCTCTGAGCAGTACAGAACCCAGTCCCAGAGGCCACATGGGGGCAATGGAAGAATCCAGGCTGGAAGGTAGTAGGGGCAGGAACAGGAGTGAGAGTAAAGGGATCAGACCCCTGGCAGGTCTCTGTCCTCAGATTGGGCAGTTAAGGCTTATATACCATCTTGAGCTAAAGAAAAAGGAAGGTTGTGGTTTGGGGTTTCAAAGGGTAGGAGGGTAGTTCACACAGAGATGGAAACACAGATGTTTGGTAAATAAATGTGTGCTAGACCATCTTTAACAATGGGACACAGAGAGGGCTTTTGGTTAAAGAGCCTTGCTAGATTCCTCCATACCACTCCTAGTTCCTATTAAACTATAGTTATTTATGATGATAGCTCCCTTCCTGGTGCAGATTTATCTTAATTTTTTTAGGCAGTTCAGGGTAGGGGATGTCAAAGGTTCTTCCTGAGTCTTTTGTTTCTTGAAAATAACCAGCTTAAAATAATCGATATTCCAAAGAGACATATTTTGAGGTGGCAATCTCTGCTTCCCTTTACCTGCACCAGTAGGATCTAGATGCTTTATTTCAAGGATTATTCATTGAGCTACGTACTATGTGCCAAGCTATTTTAGGGACTAGGGAAATGACAACGAGAAAGCCAAAGTTGGTGTCCTTATCAGTTTATGTCTTAATACACGAATTGTGAACAGAAAACAAATGAATACGGTAGGAGCCAAGGTGGTCAGGGACAGCCTCTCTGAGGAGTGGCATTTATGCAAAGATCTGAACCTGGAGATGGAGGCTGCCCAGGTCTCCAGGAAGGAGGACATGGGAGAAGAAACTTCCGGGCAGAGGGAATGGCAAATGCAAAGGCCCTGAGGTGGAAATGTACTGGGGTGCACTGGAACCCATAGGAGGTGGCATGACTAGGGCAAAGGGAGCAAGGGAGACAGGGGTGGGTATTACAGTCAAAGAAGGGGCCTGACAGATCCTGACAAGGAGGTCAGGTTTATCTCAGTACAATAGGGAGCCATGGAGGGTCCCGGGCAGGAAGAAATTTGATTAGCTTCCATTTTTCCAACAATCCGTCTGGCTGCTATGTGGAAGAAGGATGGTTGGGAGTAAGTGGGAGCATTGGGAGACCAGTGAGGAGCCAGGTGGGAGGTGATGGTATCTGGGACTATGGTGGGGATTGGGAAGATAAAAAGTATCCAGGAAATGGCATGGATCTCTGAAGTGGAAACCACCAGCAATACCAACTGTTAGGATTGCTGAGGGCACTGGGCGGAGTCTACATGGAGGAGGCGCTCACTGTGCCAGCTTTTACTGTCACGAAGAACAGTATGGGGGTGGAGAAGCTGCCTGCTGGAAGGAGGGGACGAGTGGTGGACCCTGGAGCTTAGTCGTGTGGCCTCTGAGAGGCGGTAGCTGCTCAGTGTATTCTGCAGCTTCACCAGGATGACCATTTGCCTAGGATTGGGTTGGTTCATGCCAGTGGCTCAATGATTTTCCAAAGGATAAATGAACATGGGACCACTTTGATGGTTAACACAGGGGCTGGGTGTGAGGGGCACTGGGTTCACAGGAATCCCAACGAAGCGGAGAAAGAAAGACTCGGACACAGAGGGTTCATGGTGTCCTTGGCAGCCCCAAACAGACTGGGACATAATGACCCATGAGAGGGTTTCTGTTTGCAGAAATGTAGCTCAGGTTGATGCCTTTCGGGCTCCTTAGGGCCCTGTGGTAAGCTCGTACTTGCTGTGCTTGCTGTCCGTTTCCACTAAGAACTTGTGGGTGGTCTGTGATCAGCACACTGGAGAGCTGAGAGGTGGTCATCTCCCATTTGGGGCCTGGAAGCTCCCTCGTAGGGGGATCACTGTGGTCCGGAAGGCTCCTCCTCTTGATCTCCTCCACTCTGTGTAACCAGCCATCAGGTTTCTTCAGTTTCCTTTTCCCCTGGAAACAGGCTGGTTATCCTGAGGGATAGAAATGGCTCCTACTGTCTTTGAGCTTCTATTTCTCCATGTTAAAAATGGGAGCACTGTCAGTATGTGTGTAGGGTGGGGGGGGGGTACTGTGAGTTCTTGCCCTGACTCCCTCCCAGGACGGTTGTGGGCGTCTGGAGTGCCCCTGGCTCACCTCCCCACCTCCACAGCCCAGCCGCTTCTTCCCACCCAGTTCTCTGAAAAAGCAGGAAATGGTAGTTTTCCATGTGCTGGCTGTCCAGGGACTCCGTCAGCTGGGAATGGTGTCTGCCAGGCAGGCTGGTCTAGCTTTGAATGGTTCCTGGAATCAGCTCCAAAGCCCAAGGTCACCCAGCAAAGCAGGGCACAGGGGAGTCACTGGGACAGCTTCTGGACCCCAAGCTGAGAGGGGTGGTGGCCCTCTCAATCCCCTACCAGATTCTCTCTCTCCTACTAACAAATCACAGTGTTTGCACTTCCGCCATTAATGCCTGCTGCACTGCCCCCTTCTGGTATCTCTCTGTAAACGCAGCCCCACCTGTGCAAACATATCTCAACCTACTGTGTGTGTGTGTGTGTGTGTGTGTGTGTGCCTCAACCTACTGTGTGTGTGTGTGTGTGTGTGAACCAAGGGCAGGACAAGAACAGGAGTGAAACCCAAGGAGTGTGGTGGGGAAGTATACATGGCCTGGCCAAGAGGTTTCCATAATGAATGGATGAATGAATGAATGAATGAATGAGGGAAAGTCAATGACAGCAGACACATTTTTCATGGTAAAGGAGGTGACTTCTGAGTTGGACCCTGAAGCATGAGTAGGAGTTTGGTGCACAAAGAGGGGAGAGGGTATGCCAGGCATAGGAAACAGCATGTGCAAATACCTGGAGGTCGGTCAGTGAGGGTGGGTTTAGATAGCAACCAGTTTAACCAGGAGGGGAGATGGGGAGTACTAGGGAGGAGTTCTTGAGCAGAGGAGCTAGTACCAATGTTGTCCTGGAAAGGGGACTGAGACTGTCCCTCAGAGAAATCCTTGCACATGCTCCCCAGCACCTCCCACAAGGCAATCCAGCCAAAACCCCAAGGTTAGAACCAGCAGGAGCTTCCGGTGCCTAACCGGCTGTGGTTTGTGCACAGCACCACAGGGTGGTGTTGTCCACCCTTGCTTTCTTCCCAGCTGGGTCAGGACTCTTGGCTGTCACTCTTAGTTCATCGTCTCTCACAGGGGCCTTTCAGTGGCTCTTGAAGGACCACCATGCAAGGATCAGAATAGGAAACTGAGACACATATGTGGCTAGGAGTATGGGCTTTTGAGTAAGGATCTCAGCTCTGAGACCTACTAGTTATATAACTCTGAGCAAGTTACCGTCTGAGCCTCAGTTTCCACTTCTGTAAAATGAACATCTATGTAAAGTACTTAGTATGATGCCTAGCACATAGTAAGTACTTCATAGAGGCTAGTTATAGCAATCGTCCTTATATTAAACCTCCAAGGGCCACACAGTGCTTCTTGGCCCTGCCTCATAAATCCAAGGCTATTTGAGAAGGGGCAGTGGCATGGGAGGCAGGAAACCGAGTTCTCATCCAGGCTTTGCTCTGGACCTGCAGTGTAACCTCTGGGAGATCCTGCTCTCTCTTGACAGTAATGTCTTCATCTATAACGTGAAGATAGTGACCTGATGTCCATCTATAAAAGTGATGGCTGCACAGACTTGTGAGTGAGAGCATGTCCACCCTCGCTGACTTGGCTCTCAGGGACTCTCGCCCCACTACGCGTGGCATCTCCTGCACGCTCATGCCAAGCCCCATAAAGCTGTCAGAAGTGGAGTTTATGGGCCTCACAGAGCGACAGTGGCCATGGCTGGCTGCCCTTTATGAGTTTACAAATGCTGTCTCCCTCCACCTTCAGGAGCACGACTGAGCTGGCAGCCAGAAAGCCAGGGGCCAAGGCTGAGATGTAATGCCTGGGCCCCACACTTCAATCCAGGCTACTGTGGACTCCTCTGTTAAAAATGACAGTTTGTTCCCATGTGAGGCATTCTACTTCTTTGCAGGCTAGAGGTGTCCTGGAGTCAATGCACATGTGTTTGCTCTGCCTCTCTGGTCACTGAGCACCTACTGTAAACCAGATCCTGTCCTAGGTGCTTGGGATTTAGCCGTAAACAAAAGAGCACAAAGCTCCCTATCCTTTAGGCTGTCACATTCTACTGGGATGACAGACAATAAATGGTTAGTAAATTATATAAAATCTTGAAAGATGATAAAGGCTCTTAGGAAATGAAGCAGGAAAGAAGTGGGGGACACAGTTTTAGGCGTGCAAAGGCAGGGAGGAAGCGATCCCCAGAAACCTAGCTTGCAGGTGAGAAAACAAGCTC